GTAAAGGAAGAAAACTCAAGTAGAAATCAAAAATTAACTTCCAGAGCCAGACCTGCAACAGTATAGCATGATACAAGGATTTCCTCTTTGACTTGAATTTTTCAAGGCATGCTTCTGAAGGGGAAGGGAGAAGCAAAAGGAGTGAGAGTTACCAACCTTTTAAGCCCATATTCAGAAGTAGATGCCATCGCTTCCCAGCAAACCAACCAATTGCATCCTTCTGGATCTTGTTAGTAGCCTTGCTCTTTCTTCTTTCTCAGCAGCAAGAAGTTTGGAATAAACATTTCTCATCCTGAAAGTCCTTTTACACAGAAGATGTTTTATCCATCTCTTATCAGAGACTTATATCCTTTCTTGTACATTTAAACACCCACTCTCAACACCCCAAAGTGCAACACCTTTAAAGTACAATCCTTATGACCGAACAAAGCCCAGTAAGGACAAGATCTCTGCAGTGGAAAGCAGCACCTGTAACTAATATCCAAGCACTGATCTATCTTCACCTACCTCGGTGTTGTAGCTCCCCTCTGTAGCTAAAAGAAATAACAAGACGCACCTTCCTCATGCTTTCCAGTGTTGCTTCTCCACTGGGCTGTAAAATGTGACACCTTTTGGACCAGGAGATACATAGGTAGGGGAAAAGAAGGAATCTCCAGTCACAGGAAAGAACCATGTAGGACACAAGTAGGACAATAATACAGTACCTTTTTTAAACAAAACAGATTAACTTATCTTCACCATGACCTCCTAGGGTGGGCAGCATGGTAGGAGACACTTCTTCCCCCTGCTCCCAGGAAAAACAAGCAAGTGACTGTAGAGGAAAAACCCTCTTCTCCCTGGGTCAGCTGCTGGCCTATGAGTGTATGTGGTTCCTCATTCAGGTGACTCACATCACCTCATCAAACCTACAGCTGCTGGGCCCAGAGCTCAGAACTTTCTTTTCCAGGCATGCAAAGAGGTGAAAAGCATTTTATGCTGATGCTCCAGATTCCAAGAACTGTAGCGAAAACCTTTTTGACACTTTTTTAATGCAACCTTTTCAACACCTTTCCAACACCTGTGGACTAAGGCTTTCTCCATAGACTAAATCTTCTCTATGTTTAAAGCACGTTATGGATCTCTCCAAAGGAAAAGGTCATATGCAAGGGATAATAGCCCATCCCCAAATGACCACCACTAGTAAAGATGTGTGTCTTAATTCAGCTGTTTGGTGGTTTGTCACCAGCAAAATCTTCTCTCTCCTCCCTATTTAATACACATCTGTCTCCTATCCTCAGCCTCACACCACAAAGAACTAGAGCTGAAATTCACTGCTGGGAATAGACAAGGGGCTATCTCTGCCCATGTCAGTCCCCCCTTTCTTAATTATGATCTTTTTTAATCACCTTGCAAGAATTGACAGCTGTTGGCCTTTATCTTACATACCCCAAAATCCTGAGGCCTCCCTCCTCTTTCTCACCTCATTTTCCCTCTACTGATTCTCTGCAAAGCCCAATTTCAGGAAATCTGTGATTCTTTCAGCATTCAGGCTGATCTTAAGGCATAATTATATTTCTTATTATATTGCCTGACTCAGTCATCTTGCTTGGACACAATAATGTGTGCAATCCAGGAGAAAGTACAGACTTACTGCACAGCCCATGTCTGCAAGCTGAGATATGAAGTCTGCTCCTGGCCACTAGCCTAGTTTTGTTAGTCTTATCTGGGTTTTCTCTTTTGGCTATTATTCTTTTTCTTTAGCTTGCCTGTGAAATTACAATGTATTTATCTGCCTTGTTAAGGTATTTGAGTGTTCCACCTATCAATCTGTCCACAAAACCTTGTTAAAGTCAAGAGACTTTAACTTCTGAAGTGTTAGTTAACAGCATTAGCTCCAGGACATTATTCTCATGAAGAAAAACCCTGGCTAGGAAATAAATTTCGTACAGGTCCTGTTAAGCCTCAGTTCAGTCCCATTTACTCTAGACTGATCTATCATGACCACATTATGGGAACAATGGTGCTGCAGCAGCACTAGCCTGTTCTTTTGATGAGTCATATCTACGTGTGTCAAAAGCCTGAATGCTGCTTGTAAGCATCACTCAGTAACAGAGGTGACAACATCTTGTGGTTGTAAACAGGCACCAAAATTAGTGAGACAAAGAAAGCACGTACTGAACGACTCGATGAGGAAACAGTGCCTCCATCAGTGCTAAGTATCAGAGAGAGCAGTAATTAGTATGCTAGCTTCATCAGAGATGTACAACGATTTATATAAACAGGAAGACTAGAATGTAAAGTGAGAACTTAAATCAATATGGTTACATTGATAGGACCCTTTGCATGAACATTTTCACTTTGGCACTAGGAAGTTTAAGAAACTCTAGCTCATGATGTTTTGGAGAGCGTCCAACCTAAATTTAAAAAGCTGTGTTAAGTCTGATCTAAGCACCCCCAAGAGGAACACTATCAGCACAGCTATGTTAGGTTATCTGTATGGATATGATTGTACAGGCAAATGTTCTCCTGAAGAATACTGTATAGCTCTTGGCATAGACATGCTGCTTTGATAAATGTACAGGTCACACAATCTGCATTTGAAAGGGAAAGGTTGTACTCAGTGCTTGCTCTGGGAAGATGGATGCTTTGTGGCACAAATTCCTTTTCATCTCTGTCAGTTACATAGATCATTTTGTTGCCCAGTTTGTTCCATGGTGAGAATCAAGTCAGGGACTATTTGCAACAGCTCAGCCCATACAAGTCCATGGGGCCCAGCAGCCTGCATCCAACATGCTGAGAGAGCTGGCTGATGTCCTTGCAAGGTCACCTTCTATTATCTTTGAAATGCCACAGAGACCAAGGCACCCTGATAACCGGAGGGAAAAAAAAAAAGTCACATAGTTCCAGAAAAAGCCGAAAGAACAACCAGAAGGCCACTGAGCCTATTTCGTACATTTAAGTGAAATTCCTGATATTTCAGCTTGCACCCATTGCCTTTTGTCCTTTCACTGGGTAGTACTATAGGAAGAGTCTGGCTCTGTCTTCTTTACCACCCTTGTCAGGTGTTTATACACCTTGACAAGATCCAGCCCACATCCCTGAGCCTTTTCTTCTCCAGCCTAAAAAATCACAGCTCCCAGCCTCTCCCCATTATTTCAGTCTTCAATACCATTACGATCTCCGTGGCCTCTTGCTGGATAGACTTCAGTATTTCCATATCTCTCTCATACTGGGGAGCTCAGCACTGGACACAGCATTCACATGTCTCAGTGACGTAGAGCAGAAGGGAAGGATCACCTCTCTCCACCTGCTGGCAACACTCTTCCTAATGCAGCCCAGGAAGCTTTTAGCTTTCGAGGCCACAAGGGTGCACTGATGGCTCATGGTCAACTTGGTGTCCTCCAGGACCCCCAAGGCCTTTTCTGGCAAGGCACTTTCCAGCCAGTTTGCCTGGTGCCTGGGGTTATTTTTCCCTCCAGGTGCAAGACTCCATATTTCCCTTTGCTGAACTCCATGCAGTTCCTGTCAGCCCATTTCTGCAGTCTGTCAAAGTCCTTCTGAATGGCAGCACAGCCCTTTGGTATATAAAGAACTTCTACCACCTCCTGCAGTCCTGCCGATTGCACACCATGACCCAGGTCATTAATGAAGGTTGCAAGTGCAACAGTGCAAGATCCAATATTGATAGGGTACACCAGAAGCAACTGGCCTTCAGCTAGGCTTCATGCCACTGATCACAACCCTTTGAATACAGCAGTTCATCCAGTTCTCAATGCACCTGCACACCATCTACTCACATGGTCTATAACTCATCAGTTTGGGGGATGCTATGAGGGACGTTATGTGGGACATTTAAAGCCTTGCTTAAGTCAAAAGAAACAACATCCACTGCTCTCCCCTCAAACACTGAGCCAGTCATCTAATTGTAGAAGGCTATCATGCATGCTTTACCCTGCATAAATCCATTCTGGCTACTCCTCATCATTTTCTTGTTCACCCTTGGAAATGGTTTCCAGAACTATTTGCTCCATCACCTTCCCAGAGACCAAGGTGAGGCCAACTGTCTTTTAGTTCTCCCTCTTCTTCTTGTCCTTTGCAGATAGGAAGGACATGTCTTTCTTCCACCCCTCAGGAATCCTGTCCATTGCTATAACCTTTAAGATAATTGAGAACAACTTCATAGTAACATCAGCCAGCTCCTTCACCAGCCATGAATGTGTCCCATAGATCTGGGTATGTCCCATCTCTAAGCATTTAGCTTAATCTTTCTTAACTAAGGGTTGATAGTCCTTGCTCTAGCCTTTCCCACTGGCCTCCTGGGCCTGCAGTTCCCAAAGGCTGGTCTTACCAGTAGAAACCCAGGCAAACAAGACTGAGTACCTCAGCCTTCTCCCTGTCCCTTTGCCATGAGAACTCCTGCCCCGTTTAGAAGCAGGCCCGCATTTTCTCTGATCATCTTTTCGCAGCTGATATGCCCGAGGATTGCCTGTTGTCCTCCACACCCCCTGCCAGGTTCAGCTACAGACAGCTTGGAATTGGCTCCCTAAACACATCCCTGAACATTTGCATAGGATGCTTATGTTCCCCACAGGTTACCAGTCCCTACCTCCACCTCTTGAACATTAATGTTTTGTGGTGGTGCACAGCTGGAGGATGATAGACAATGAGTATGAGTTGAAACAAGAGAAGTTCAGTCTAGATAAGCAAAAACCTTCCCCTTAGCCCTTGCACGCTTGAAGTGGCAATGTGTTTTTATCTGGTCACCTGCAGCACTTCTGCATGTGGATCAGAAAACACAGCAGCTGGCAGAAGTGTGGAACACTACTTAAACATCATCACTTGATCAGCAATGCACACTGATTCTCTGAACTTTTGTGCTAGAGACAAGCATTCTCTAGCTTGTACCTGTATAGTCAGTACTTGTATACTCAGTATAGTCAGTACTTGCACCTGCCACACCTGAACAAGGTGCTCAGGCATTTGGGTTAACTGATGTGCAATATAAAAGAACAGACTGACAATTTTTAATAGGCCATTTTTTATTGAGAGTTAAGATCACGTTTCCCACAATGTGCAGAATGCACTATGAAAACAAAATACAGAAGATCACTTTAGTAAATACACACTGGTTAAGCAATGCTACTTTTTGGCAAAGTGCTGTATCTTGTTGTTTTTCAGCTTGTGTTATAACTATTAAAAATAAGAGCCAGACATTCTTCCATATCAAAAGGACTGCTACAAATAGAGAAGTGGCTCTGGAGAGAAGCTGCCATATGTGCATAGACTGATGTACAGTATTAATCCTAACTGAAATGTCCCTTTTGAATCTTCAAGTTTGCTGTGTAGAAGGCACAGTTTAAAATGCAAATCTGTCTATTGACCAATACATACGAAAATACAGTTTCAGCAAGATTCATGAATATCAAATCAATATAAGACAGTGCAAGGCCTCTGCTTTTTACAAGAACACACACTTTAATACAAGTCAAAAAACCATAAGAAGCCACACAGCTTGCTATTAAAACAGAAAAACAAAACAAATCTATTTGCCCAATAGCTCCAGGCACAAAATGGGGCTAGACCGACATAAATACGTAAACCACATTAACAAAAAGCCATTGATGCAGTACTATCTCACACAATAATATGGTGTCTAATATTACAAATTGAGAAGCACAGCTTTGTGCAACAAAATAGTTTATATCCTGAAAGATATAGGTTTTCATCACCAGAAAGTCATCTAGTAATGTAGTATAAAAAGATCAGTATCTCCCAATTCTAGGAGCAGTCTAAAGTTGCATTTACTTGCCTACTGAGAAGAACAGTCCAAGGCTCTCACTGTAATGCCTGGGAGCCTTATACTCTCAACTCCCATCTCCCTGTCAAGAGTTAAAAGATTACTTAACTCCTTCTAACACTGGGAGGTGGACACTCCATCTTCCTTCATTTCACTTTAAGAAAATTAAAGCTGAAGGAAAGTAGTTACTTTTATACAAAGAAAAACAAAAATACAGGAAAGAGAGGAATTTTCCTGAGCTAGGAAGTTGGCAGTGAGAAGGAAGTTTAAACTGGGCAAAAAGCTGGAGTGATAAAAGCAGACAATCTGAGGCAAGTAAGAGTATTCATGAACAGATGAGAGACTGGTGAAACCACAGCTATTTGCAAACCAGAATGTTTGGACCACAAAAGAATTGCTGTATGGACACAGACACATACTGCTGAAAACACTAACAAAAAATCCCTATTTTTGAAACTTACGATGTGACCAATTCTGTTTTCTTTCACTGTGTGTGTGAATTTAATGTATTTTAGGAAAAAAATAAAATAAAGGAGACTAGTGTATCCAGGAAAGCACCTATTGCTTTTACACACTTAACTATCTGTGAGCATCCCCTTGCAACAATCTTAACTAACCCCAGTGAAGCAGCACATCTGCAGTGAAACAAAGGTTATAAGTGCTATTTCCTGTATACTAAGCATGTTCCACAACAATTCCAGCTGCAGAATGTGCAACAGTACCGTTACATCAAGGTCAATCCAAGTTGTTAGAGTTTGGCTTCAATGAATTTGAAGCATTTGGCTGAATTTAAAATACTTCATAGGTCTAGAAAAATTCACATTACTGATCTAATTTTAAGGACTCCTCACATGACTCCTTATACTAGCTTTTGTATAAGGACTACTGGAAGACATTGTTGAATGTAATGTTAACACTTTAATGCCCTAGGCACTAAACACAAGTTAAAACCAGTAAGTCACATTAAGTACTGACAGAAAGGGGGATAAACCTACTGGTATTTCCCCTCTTTCTTCAGTGCAGATTTCTGCTTCCTCACCTCCATAGGCATTTAGTTTACTTCCCAGATTGATCTATCAGGGCTCAGCATGCCACATGGCTGCTGTTAAGAAACAGGGTGTACTGAACAGGTGAACTTTGTGTTCTGGGTTTTCAAGTGCCTGCCAACTTCCAAAACATTGTACAGCGTTCTTAAGAAAATTACTTGTTAGTTTTGAATGGCTTTTCTTTCCTGTTGCCCATGGAATTGCTATCCAGCTCTTCTGCCCCAATGGGCTAAGGGAATAACACTGCCAATCTATCTCCATTTTTATACACCCTGTCATCTCTGTGTTTAGTTCTGTAAGACTGTTTTTCAGCATCCTCTTATCCCTGCCACACACTGCCCTTCATTTCCAGTCACAATTAACTTGGACTTAATTTCTAGAGAGAAAGAGAAGGGAGAAAATTTGAACTAATAAGACCTTCCTTCTAGCTGCTTTTGAGCTACTCAGACAATTTAACAGCAATTAGCAGCTCAGAAATAGCTATCCATCAGCCTGACTTCTTTAAAGAGCAGTCAGCTACTGATGGGATTAAAAGAAGTCAGTACACCATCCTTTTCCTCTAAGTAGACTAGAGATTAAATGAAATGGGATAGGGTAAATACATCTTTTAAAGACAGAAAGAATAAGAGAAAAGGAATAAGAACCCAAACTGCACCAAGTAAAACCCAGTTCAGCTCTGTGTTGTGCATCTGCACTTAACCCATAGGCCCACTTTTCCTTCCACTCCACTGTGAGGTACTACATCTGTAACACCAGTGCCATAGCCTACTGCAACAATATTAGGGGGGGACATTTAACCCTTTCTGATATCCATATCAAGTACCCAATACACCTACACAGACTCCACTAACACAAGTAGGTACTAGGCGATTTACATTAGACGTCCTTCTTGTAACAGTTCAGCATAGCTACCCACTGGCAGCTATAGTATGCCTTTGTTAGAAAGTAATCATATATGCTGAATATAGACAGATACACAAGCTGTCAAGTTTTGGTTATTAAAGAATACACCTAACCTCAAATTTTCTAACTCCACTTTGATTAACGTAAAATATAACTGATTTCCATCTCAGTTAAGTGTCTTTAAAAGATCAACTAAGAACCCATCTATACATCATAGTTTATAAAACAGCACACAAACTACCTTAGTGATAGGCTTCCAAGACATTGATATTTAACATCAATGTTCAGGACTTACTGCAAGATGTTTGGAAATTTAGGTATCATTTTAAAAGAATGCAACTCTAGTTACAATTGTGTTGGAGGCATTGACAATCAGCTTCAGACTGACCACACTTACCTATGCACGGAAACAAGAGTAACCTAAAAAACAATTAGACCATAGATTAAAACCACAAGAGCCATCAGTAATTGAACTGACGCTGGCAAGGCTGGTGAACAAAGAGTCCATTGTGCTTGATTTGCCGAGAGTGGCAATCCCTGGTGAGGTTTTGGCGACGGAGACCATTTCTGTTGAGATAATGTCTTTCATTATGTTCTTTTATCCAGTGGCTAGGACGAAAGCTCTTGGTTTTTTCCAGAAAAGCTGAACGAGTAGCAAGAGCTGTGACGTAGCAGTGAACACGCTGCCCCGTTTCATTTCGGGCTTCCAGTCTAGAAACGTAACAAGCAGGTATCAGCCATTACTGAGGAGCATTGGAAAGACATGCAAACTATACAGGGCAGAACAGGGACATCAACATCCAGCATTTCAAAGGAGCACTCTTATTCTACTGGACAGAGATTTGGGCTGAGGCGAGATCAAGCCAGGAAAGCCACACTGGTAAGCCATGTGTAGTGCTGCTAACTCACTTTTTGTGAGGGCACCACAATAGCCTTTGGACATCTGGTGTCTCATACCACTGAACCCTTCCTTCCCCACCCCACCTCCCTAAGCCCAGAATGCAACATCGATCAGAAATGTAAGGCAATGTGTGTCACACTGCTCCAGCCTTAGAAGACTTAGAGTTGCTCATTACGCAAAGTCTGGTTTAAGAAAAGTCATCTTGAACATAAGTGGTTCAGCCTGAAAACAGAAGCACACCAATAAAAGCATGTTTGGATTGCCAGCCACACAAATAAATCCAAACAATGTTTGTGCAGAGGAATGGGAAAGATAGATCAGTTGTGACACACACAGGAAATAACTCAGAAAGATGGCTCTTCAACCAGCCCTTCAGATTTTATGAGCAGAAAGTCAGCAGTTTTGGCAAACCCTTTCTCCATCATGCACTAGTGAAAAACAAACCAGCAGCCTATGCAAGCAGGGACTGACATACTGAGAAAGGACTTCCCTACTTGACAGAACAATCACTGGTGTTTCCTGAAACTTCCCAAGAAAAGCTAAAGATAGCCTGGCAGTTCTAAAAAGCAAAGCAAATCTGAAGTCTGAGCTCCACGCTGCTGTGAGACCAGCGGCACCAGAGTTGCTTGCCTTCTCTCTCCCCACCCAGGACACAGTCACTAGCTGTCAACTCAGTGGTGCCCAGAAAAGCTGCCTACAAGACCAGGAGCTTGCCAAGGCATGACCAAGAGGCCTCTTGGGAAGTCTGCTTGTCAGCTCTAGCATGACTACTCTAGAGTTTCTTTTGGAAGAGCTTAACTTTCAATTATCATATGATGTCTCTGGTCTGCCAGGCCCATGGCAGACACCCTTATAGCCTTGCTCTTGAGGGGCTGCAGGTGCCTGGCAGAGAAGTGAGCTCTTCAGCTTCCCCAGGTCCTACACTGGAGCTAAATACTGTCAGCTCTTCTATGATTCTATGATTTTAAACACCCAAATCCACTTTCTTTTGGCTCCTTGGGTAACTTGACATTAACTGAAGCCTACAGACTCCAGAAGAGCCATGTGTGACATGCTGGTTTTCTCCTGTTCATTCACTGGATATTGTCCTAAACCTAACACTTGTAATATGAAGCAAGAAGTGAGCAAATAACACAGCACAAATCAATTCACAATGCCTTGTAAGTACTTTCTATGCAGATTACACCAGTTTAATTTTGATCAGTGCTGGAAGTGCAACTCCAAGTGAAGCCCTTCTGAGGAGAGCTTAAAAAACTATGAAACCACACCAAACTTATTAGGATGAGAAAGACAGACCAGCTGTGACACACAGGAAATCATCCTTTACTTCCTAATCATGCCCTTGCTGCACGTTACTAGCTAGCAAAGAGCATCAACTGCTAATACAAAGTGGTGTTGTTTGTTATGGAAAAACATGACTAACCTGAAGAACACAGGGGAGTTTATACAACACGCTTTTGCTTCAAAAGGAATTTAAAAGGAACAAATAGATTTCCTCCTTTTGTAGGGGAAAAAACTGGTTTAAAATTGCTGGTTGAAGATATTTAAACTTTTTGCCCTCTTATCAAATGCCCTCCCAGCACCAGTTTGCAAAGCAACATTCTTCTACTTATCTTAAAGTGGAACTGGGATAGCAGAAGTGGTTTGAATTAGCTAAAAGGCCACATACTTTTTCAAAACATGGCGTTTTGCTATCTTAGTGGCTGTCTTTGGTAGCCTGGCACTAGTGAGCCCTGAGAGAACAGGCCTAATGAGCCTGTTACTGTACTACTCCATCAATACTATCAAAACGTAATTTTAGAGGGGCTGTACCTAAAGGCAGACTGCTGCTACATATGTTCACTGCTGCACACCTGGCATCTATTTTGCTAGAAAGCACACAGGTCCTGATAGTTGCACTACAGAGCCAGACCTCGCAAGACAAATTAAAGGCTTCAGACCCCATCCCAATTAATATTTAATTACTTTTTTCTGCACTTAGCATTTTGGCTTGTTAAAGCAGATGTAGTTAGGCTTGATCAAGTAACATCATTTGGCACAAAGGTTAGTCCTAAAACCAGTATTGTTTTGGCAGACAAGGCTCTAGAGGAAGCAGCGTTGCTAGCAGCCTGATCAAACAAAAAGCACTGTCCCAAAACAGTAGTACTTACTGTGCCAGTGTGCCTTAAGCAGCTTTTCTTGGCCCTACAATGTTAAATGGTCAACCATTAAACCACTAGAGACTTCAAAACAGCTTCTGAAACTGCATTAGCAGTGTAATTGATGTTCCCAGTTTCTGTAGCCTACTTCGGCTTTAGACTTAAGTCTCACCCTGGTTCTGCCACCAAAAATAACGCATACAAAAGCCTAGATTCTCTGATGAAGCAACAGCACAGAATTCAGTGTGAAGAAACTTACCACACACCAGCTAAGTTCATCACACCTTTAGCTTCCCGACAAGTTAAAGCAGCATGACTGTACTGTATAATGTAAGAGAGCATTCTTCTCCAAAGGGATTTATACCAGTACCCCCAGTTCAAGTCACTGAGAAGTCAGTACCCAACTTTGTGTGTTACTATTCACTGCAAACTACTGTCTTTCACTAGGGTAAGCCTCACAGCCTACAGTGCATTTGCAGATTCCTTCAGACCCTCCTTTTAAAAGCTGCTGTGTACTCCTAACTTCCCCCAGTTTAAGTTAAGCTTGACCCTTGATGCCTAACACCACAAGCTACCATCCCCAAATAACTGTACAAATCCCCATTCTAAGATGAATGGTATCAGCATTATACTTCAATATTATACATCAGCATGTCATCTCAAAGTCACCTGTCTCTTTGAAGTACAGACTTTAAATATAGCAAGGAGCTGATCAGAAAAGTCCACGGGCATCTACCTACATCAGCTCTAGCACTACACTCATTTTCTCCTGCAGAAGAAAGCTTAGTATACTACAATTTGTTTTTTAATTGTTTCTAAGGGTAACCATCAGATGGGACAAAAAGTCAGTCTTTGTTATTAACCAGGAAATCATAAAACGCCCAATTATTTCCAAATCAATGAACACATGGCCAAGTGTGGAGTCATAAAGTAAAGAAATACTCTATTTGTATATATCTACGTATGCTGTACTTGTATAGCTGCATATACTGGACAACCGAGAGCAGAGAAGCAGTGCATGGCAAACATGCCTCTGCAATAATTCCCCATGGCCAGATTTTTGGGACTCAAATAAGCACAACTTCTTACCTCACTAAAAGTAGAAGTTTGCAGCACACATTTTTACCTCAAGGGGAGCAAATTTTGTGGAGTATTTCAGTTTGCTTTGTTCCACAAGCAGCTTGTAGGAAAACTTAATCCTGTCCTAATCTACCACTAGGTTGAAGAATAAAAAAAAAAACCCAAACCAAACCAAATTCCCCTGTCAGGATAATTAAAGTAAAATTTTCCATCTCAGGAGGGACCGTTATGTAAAGTTCTGAAAAATACACATAGCCAAAAAGAGGGCAAGGTGCTTCCAAATCCATGTGATGAACTTTAACTGCCACCCGTTTTAACAGCACCAAAGTACATCCTGCCAGGGAATAATCAGGCTCCATAAATATTCCTTGCAGTGTCAAAACAGCAAACCCAACCGAATCCTGACACGGTCATCTTGTGTAACATTTTTCTAAGCAGGCAGGCAGCCCTGACCCTCCTACCCATCTTGCGTAGTATTCATGCTTTATTCACCTGCTTGGAAATAAGCTGGAAAATTCAGTATTAAGTGTCTAAGCTGATCAAGTAGAAACCAGATATTTTCAGCAACAGAGCTCCCTGATAAATGAAGCTGAACATACCTCGGACTACCTGGGCTGTGAAACTCCTCATCTCCACACCCAGTCTCATTAAGGCTGTGACAGGTATTGTGGACAGCGTACACAGACATGCTGGGATGCTCGATGAGGAGGTTCTCCATTGGACTGGTTTCCACTTTGATAGTGGTCAATCCACCTGCAGTAAAACATGGGGGAGGGGTAATAAACCAGCTCTCCTCCATGGGGCATGACTCAAACTGGATGAAGCAAGACTCGCTGGCCTCTGGAAAGTGTTCCAAGGGAGACGGTAAACAAGAGAAGGCAGGTGAGCCATCTGCGTCCGATGCTTCAGCGATGTCCGCTTCCTCCGCGGAGCAGTTAGTGCAAGTGTCTGCCATTAGTCAGTGTAGAGGAACCCGTGGAGGTTGTTGACCGCAGGAGGTTGATAACAACATGGTTGCACAGAGTCAACAACGGGATACAGAAAAAACAAAGAAACAGAAACAAACCCCTATTAGCAGATACACAAGTTTTTGTATTTTTAGAAGTCAGGGGAGGGGCAAAGGTTGCTCCCTGATAAGCCATGCCAGATGTGCAACACAACTGTTATCAGCAAAGCAATACAATTGCATAATAAGTCAAATATATTTTATCTGCACAAGTAGTTCTGCTGAAGCCTGTGTCATGCTTATAAACCTGACATACTTTTTCTCATCAGTTTACATAACATGTTTTAGTACATTTGGTTGGAAGACACCCTACACTAATCCACACTCATTTTATGCAGGTAAAGTTTCTTCCAAGCTACTGGTGTCTTTATAAGGAAGTAAAAGAAGTAACAGCCAGAGCAGAACAAAGGCGGAGCTTACATTTGACAGACATCTTACCTATAAAGTCAACCAGAATCCACTCGTCATCTTCTTTCTCACTGAATTCTGGCTCTTGGCTGGACAGGCTATCAATCTCTCCCATGAGCATGTTATTTAACCTCTGGAACATTACTAAGGCAGGAACAAGACTTTGGCTGGTAGGTCTTTATATCCAAGGTTCAAGGCACAGCTCACACTGTACTAGCAGAGTGGCATAGACTTGAGATTAAAGTGCATAGATGCTTTATCAACTTAGGTACAGGACATGCAGAGGCATGTCTGGTGAACAGTTTATGTGAAACCTGCAAAAAAAACCAAACACCAATGACAAGGGTCTTAATGACAAAGCAACAGGTAACACCCCTAGGGAACAAACTAAAAGCCCTCTTTTTGGTGCAGTCTGAGGTACTAGTAAGCATTTTTGCCTACGAGGAAGGCAGCTTCACTGGCATTCACCATACCCTCCCCAGATTCATACAGGAAAAGCCTAAGTCTGTCCTTGGAGCTGAGCACCTTCCTCCTGATTCTCCTCCCTGAGCAAAGGTCTGCTCAGGTTTCAGTTCCCACCTTCTGTTATGGGAGGAGAGGACTATATGCTATATGCTCACTGCATAGGCGGTCCCTCAGCTCCCTGCCCGTCTTCCTCACAGTCAGAGAGATGCAAAGGGCACCTGCATTCTTCTCTAGACAACACATCTCCTCCATTGACACAGCCTCACACCTTGTCCAGGGACTCCTGTGAGGGCTCTCAGAGGTGCCCAAGGCAGTGTTTCTTCTCTCCCATCTCACACAGTTCAGGGACGCTGCCTACAAGTTAACACAGTAGGAAGGCATGTCCCACCTTCATTGAGTAGTGTACTGTTCAAAGTACACCACGTAGTTACCAGTGTGATCATTTTCACTGCAAGCGCCCAACTAGTTATGTATGGTAAGCCTAAATAACACAGAAAAGTAACCTGTATACTTAATTATCTACATGTAATTAGTCACCATAAGCCTGAACTCTACATTTGGCAGTTAAGATGAAAAATCCCATCAGTACAAGAAGCTGAATATTCACGCATGCAGATCTGCACGCTTACAGCCTTTGAATATTTATGCGTGAGCCAACAAATAGAAGCCATTAAAGTAGCTGAAAAAGTAAACACTGTACATGAAAAATATTCACTGATTTAACTACAATTCCACTATAGAAATATTTGAATTACTACAGCATGTCAAAATTATTACACATTAAACACCTGCTTAATAATTAAATAGGGAAGATACACATGCAAGAGGGCATGAATGTCTGCACTCAGAAAAGGAGTAAGACACACTATACTAGACAAACCCAGCTAAGATACAACTCACAAAGAGTATTATTTAAGGCCAGCACATCCTGCTTCATCCTATAACTCTCAGGCCACACCAAAGGATCATTTTGACCTTCTACACCACATTACCCCAGGACACCAGACTCCATTACCTACTTGTTCAATGCAAAGACAAGCACCTGCTCCACATAGTACTGCTCCTGTAGACATTTACAAGCTACCTCCTCATTCAAACAGCACAAAAGGATAGGGGTGGCATTCAGAGTAGTCTTCAGAAGCAATATGAAAAGGTACAGTGTAACTCAGGAAGTTATGCACTCTAGCTTTTCAACAGGATAATGCAAGACTAGGAACAACTGGCTCAGATGCAGTAGAGATTAAAGGCTGCCTTTTCAGGACCACACTTGAACATGAGCCATCTGGGCTCTCTAAGACAGCCACAAGAAAAATCACAAGTGTAAAGAAAAATGATAAAGTTCAAAAAATAGGCTCAAAAAAGAGAAGGAGAAATTGAAAATAGTCAATTATGTGAAGAAAAAGGCAAACATTTATTCCCTTCTTCTACATTCACAGCAAGCAGAAGTGGCATTTAGCTACAGTGAAGTTCAATTTTCAGTGGTTACTAGCAGGAAATGCTTTTAACCATTAAGGTTTCTAAGCTCTGGGTGGGTTACCCAAGGAAACGCCAAATGCCCACAGTGTTCCCAAGCATCTTCTTGAGAAGGCTTGAGAGCCTCAGTTACAGTCAGAACTTGCCATGGATAAGGATATGGACTCCAAGTGGAAGCTTAAAGCCTACAGTTTTCCAGTTACCTCCCACATCTATTCCTATCTCTTTTTCGGCACTATGCCCAGGAACAAAAAAGTTCAGTTTTTCTTTAGGCTGACTAGCAAGCCATGGCGTAACTGCTGACCAGTGCTGATGATGCCTCTTCCTTAGGCCAAGGCTGGAAATCACCTTCATGCAGAAGCTGCCTTTTTGTTCTGTGCATAGAGTGGAGCAAGACAAGAACTCACACTCTTAAATTAAGGCTCCACAGGCATCATAACAACATGAAATAATTAACCTCTAACAAGCGAGAGGCCGCTGTTCCTGTTCCACAATTCCCTATAGTGGAATTGTTCCTGAGAACATAAGCTAAACAAACCACAGCTTGACCCATAAATGTCTTTCTGTAGATCACAAGCAGTTTGTCCAATCTCCTCCTTCCCCCACTCCAAGGAGGATCCATAAAACCCATCTGAATCATTTAGAAACTGGTTGATGTTCCCACATCCTTTTGGACAAGTGCCCTTAGCAATGCCACACTTGCATGCTATTGCACAAGCCAGACGAGGAGCAAGCAGGAACGCTGTTATCAAGGGGAGGCAAATGAGGCAGAGGCCCACAGAGAGGTACACTGGCTGTTAGAGAGGAACGATCAGCTGCAAGAAAATATGGGACCAGGAACAGCTGACTCAGCCACAGTCGGGATGAAAAGGATGTTAGAGGTAACACATCCAATGCACGTTAATACTACGTTGCACTAAAAAAAAAAAAAACCAACAACACTCAAACCCACTTTTTTCTTTCTGCCCCAGCAGAGGAGATGGGGCGCATGCCAAGCAAAAAAGAAACGAAAATAAGACACTCCCTGAAGCGTCCGCTGCAGTTCCTGGCTGCCGCGCCGCCCGGTGCCTTCCCCACGGCCGGTTCACGCCGCCAGGAGGCTCCCACAAGCCGCTTTCGGAGGAGTCAACGGGTCACCCGTCCGGGCTCCAGAGCCCAGCCCCGCCGCTGGGCGGGGGGACGCGATTACCAGCTAGGAAAACGGGAAAACGCTCCCGGCTTCGGCGCTGCCCGAGGAGAGACAAGCCAGGATGGAAGCCACGCAGACGGGAATCCCGCCGCTGCTGCTTTCCACTGCCTCTCCCGAGCGCTCAGACCACAGGACGCCGCTACACCCCCCGCTGTGATAAGCCGGGACACCGACGCCGTGCCCGGTCTTAGCCTTAACCCCGGCCCCTCAAAGCCAAACCCACCTGAACAGCACTGCTCCACTCCGCGCACCCACCCGCACCGCGCCCCCGGAGCCCTTTGTTGTGAGAGCCGCGGCGCGCAGCTGACGGGCCGGCAGAGCTGGCCCCGCCCCTTCCCGCCCCTCCGCCAATCGGCGCCGCCGGCGGCTGTCGCTAACGCACGTGACGGGCGGGAAGGCACGCGGGGAGGCGTGGCCCCTCCCGCCCAGCCCGCCCCTCACCGCTACAGGCTTGGGAACAGAGGGACTGGAGTAGATAAACCACTTATTAATGCTGTAGTTAAAGATGGAAATTAATTAGTAATTAAATAGGCACCATCTTGACTTATGGAGGGGTTTCAGTAGAAAGGGGTCTGCGAAGATCATCCAGTTCCAACCCCCTGGCATGGGCACGGACACCTTCCCTAGACCAGGTTGCTCCAAGCCCCATCCAACCTGGCCTTGAGCACTGCCAGGGATGGGGCAGCCACAGCTTCTCTGGGCACCCCGTGCCAGTGTCTCACCACCCTCACAGTAAAGAATTTCTTCCTAATATCTAATGTACATCTGCCCTCTTCTAGTTTAAACCCATTACCCCCTTGTCCTATCCCTACATACCCTTGTAAAAAGTCCCTCTCCAGATTTCTTCTAGGCCCCCTTTAGGGACTGGAAGGTGCTCTAAGGTCCCCCCAGAGCCTTCTCTTCTCCAGGCTGAACAACCCCAACTCTCTCACCCTGTCTTCATAAGTAAAGTGTTGTAGCTCCTGTGATCATCCTTGTGGCCTTCTCTGGATTCGATCCAACAGATCCTTGTCCTTCTTGTGTTGGCTCCCCAGAGCTGGACTCAGGACTGCAGGTCCAGTAGGCTGAAGCCTGTTAGTTGACTTGTAAAGATTCCAAGTCAGACTTCTGAAGTCCTGGAAGACTTGTGCATTAGGTCACTTACCCCATCCACTCCCTGTTTTTCTTTAAGGAAAAGACAAGAGGCAATGAACAATGAACATAAATTCAGCGCTCTTTGGAGTGATGAGCAGCTAATAAGGAAGGAATTTCCAGGCAGTGAAATTACAGTCCAGAAGAGCTGGTGTAGCTGTGCTGCACACCTTCAGTCACTTAATATAACTCTGAATACATCAGAGTGTTAATATTGTTGCTTCAGACTGCAGCAAATGCTGTTTAGGAAAATATCTGTGTCCTCTGGAAGATGCTGAAACAAATGGGCACTGTGTAGCCAAACAGCAGTTTACATGCAACACATCTTAACAATTTAGGAATTTTCATGGTTTCAGTAGTGCTGAGTAACATGATTTGTAACAGGCAATAACATTTTCTACTAAAATACAAGGTGTGCAGCCTAAATGTGTTGTAGCTGTGGGAGTCCAGATAAACTTCTTGACCTTTTATCTTCAGTGTTTAATAACATCTTCTTTTGTACCCTTTTTTCCCCCTCCCTTTTTTTGAGGACTAAGCTTTTCTATGTAAAACAAAATGGGGAAAGTACATTTTTGGGGAATGCTGCAAAGTGGCTTCCTGTGGTTGGGAACAGGCTGTGTAACTTGGCTGACAAACTGCCCAGATGGACAACTTACAGTATTTTTGCAAAGCCTTTCAAATGTCTGGTATTTGGTGATACTTTTTTAGGCTGAGCTGACCCTTCCTGAATGATGAGATACATAACCGGCACTATCAGGGGGTGTAAACTGATTGAATGTCTGATTAAACTTTCAGTTTGTAAGTTGAAGCAATTCATAAAAGAGCCTACAAAGTCTTTTTGATTTGATGTGATAGTGGCTCCACGGCTGGAGGGGGCTGGGAGATGGCAGAAGCAGCACGTCTGTGAATTCAAGATAGGCGAGACAGAAAATTAAATGTACAGAATAAATGCCTCAAAGGATTTCTCTGTATTGCAGAATTACACTGTGTTAGAACACGTTAATTAAAGCGATACAAAGCAATTAGTGCAGACAAGAACTGTCATGTTTGGCAGCTGTGTTAGCTTAGGTCAACAACAACAACCAGTGTTAAACATAGTAGTCTTTGTTTATATTGACTGTTATATTAAGCACTATATGTTAATCAATTAACATAATGAACTTTTCCAGTGTAGGCAAGCCCTTGGAAGGCTCGGGCTGTATTTGAGTCACAGCCTCCTAATGAAGTTAAAAAGCCAGTCTTTATGTTTTTTAAAGTCCCCTGAGAAGGAATTAGATTAGGAATTAGATTAGGAATTCTGTGGCATCGATTTCTGTTGTGCTGTTGAGTGCATTCCTCTTCATTTCACTTATCTTATGCTTTAATTCCCGGTCATTATAAAATGGTGGAAACAATGGACTTGCTTACTTTTTCCTCCAAATCGCATCACTGTTGGCAGGAGAGGGGCAGATCTGAAAGCTACTCCTCTACCCCTGGCAACCAGAATACTTTTGTTCCAGATCTGAGAAGTACTTAGGCACATGAATGGTTTAAAATGAAATAAATTACATGTGTGACTTACATACCTGCTGACCAAGAGGGTGTTTCATCATGCACTCACTGAGGTCAACGACAAATTTTCTGGTGATTGCAGTGGTGGAGGTTGTGGCCTTAGCTGCTTTATCCAAGGTCTTTCAAATCAATTAGCCTTTCTATTGATTCTAACAGTTGTTACATCAGACTCTCAGACAGCAAAAGAAATGCAGTCATGTTGGTCTGGGGCTTGCTGAGCACCAAGGTTGACCCAGAGACTAGCCTTCCCTTGAGGATTTTGACTTTTAGATTTGTATTACAGGACAAAAAGAAGAGATCTCTGGAGCAAGGGAACCATTCGTGTTTCCAACAATGTGTGCCCTTGCACAATACTGAATTACTGGTAGGAGTTAGCAGAGAGTCTGTTGTACTGTGTGCTCAGTGGCAGCTTAATGGCACAGGCATTGCTGTGCCTGCAAAAGTCTCCCTGTGCATCCAGAGTGCTCTGAGTGTCACAGGGATAGTAAGCCCCTGGGCAGCAGTCCTCTGTTATTTGAACTGTATTGATTTTTCAACATCCTACACATTAATGCAAGGCATGACCTATTGTCTGGGTTCCCACTGCGATGAAATACTACAGCAGCATTTAGCAGGCACAATATATGTCTAGCCATGGAGTACAGAAACACTGACCTTCCTACGACAAGACCTGCGAGTTACAATGAGCACATTGAGCTTACAACAAAGCACTGCCATGTGTTGTGCCTCTTGAAGAGGCCCTACTCCGCAGACATGCCTGTTTAAATGGTAGGTGAGAATGCAGATCTTTGCATTAGAAACACTGAGTAGCAGGAGGGAGAATGATGCCAAACAGAGCTTGCACAGACTGAAAAAATAATCTAGTAAACTTTGGAGAAGATCGATCCTCCAGACAACGATAAATACAAATTCTTTCCAAACAACGTGTAACAAACCACTTGCTATCACCCTGAGTGATTTACACGAACAAATCCACTGTTTCCACTCAGCGTGAACCTGGCATATCTGTACAGGAACCTCCACACCATTCACCTTTTCTGATAAGCGTGTCATTGGTTTAATGTCACTGAAACCCAAAGTTTCAGTTTCGTGTTCAATTAAAACCTGATGTTCTCAACCTAACTGTGATGAAGACCAAGTCTGATGCCTTCTGCCCCACAGATTCCATCTGGCTGTGGCAGAAAGCCCAGTGCTGCATGGTAAGAGATTCGACAAGATCACCGCTGTCAGATAGGTCTGGGTCTGTCCTCCTCAATGCAATATGCAGAAACGGGGAGGGAGTGTTATAATTTAAAAAATACCTGAAGTTTATGATTAACCACAATGAAACAGTTTTGGCTTTGTTTGGGTTGTTTTGGGTTGTTTTTTTTTCCCCTATGGAAAAGATACTAACTGCTGTTCAAAAGAGTCCAAGCTTTTCTGCCCAAATTTAGGTACAAACACTTGAAACCTGTTGTTTAAAGCACAGGCAGTCTCAACAGACCCAAGCTTAAAAAAGCAGTCTCACATTTGTGTCCTTGCACAAATGTCAGTCCCTTTTCTGAAGTGGACTTCTACATTTAAACATCAGTCTCAATGAAAACAGGCACTTCCTTTTCTGCTCTTCTTCCCCTCACTTTAGTTAGTGCAAAGGTTTCTGCAACATTGGCTTAAAGATACCAGATTGATTGTTCCTGCTGTGAGTCACAAGTTTCTAATGCTGTTTTCCCAAACAGCGAGTTAAGATTTTGAGTAAGAGCAGGTCTTTCCAGACTTTTATACAAAACAAGTGTTTGAGACCTGATGCTTTATTTCTAGAGTATGAGCTAAGCAAATTCAAGAATCCAATTTTGACACGACTAGGAGCCTCATGATTTGGCTGACTGAGATCCAAGGAGGCAGACATTACTGGATATGATCCTCCAAACCAGACTGAAAAAGTTGTGGGATTTTGTTTTCCATGGAAGAACTATTATCTTAAAACATTCAACCTGTTGTCCTTTTCAGCAAAGAGTCCTTGTTAGAAAAAAAACAACTCTTTTTCCTAGAAGCTGTCAAAATGCAATTCCTACTTTTCATAT